CTCCTCCTCCTCCTCACAGGGTGGGGGACAGGACGGGGCCCAGAGGTGCTGTTCAGAAGCTCTGGGGAGCATGTGGGTGAGTGGGCATCACCTCACCCCTGCCTTCTTCCTGCTGGACTTGGGTCTGTGCTGCCCATGCCCCGTGCTGGGCTTCTGGACCAACACTGACCTGCAGTCCTCCCCACAGACACCTTGTCAGCTGCAGAGTGGAAATGTAGCCTCTGGCAGTGGCTTGGTCACATGGAGACCAGGAGCACATGTCAGGAAACGTGCAACATTAGAACGTTTACGTTCAACCGTGGCCAGTTAAAACGTTAATGTGAAAATGTGGAATAATGTTTAAACAAAAATATGACGTGCAGGCTGCTTAGTGTCCAAGGATGGTTTACTTTCCCTGCAGAACACTTGCCGTGAGCGCCACCTGGTGTCGCAATTTAAAATGACGGTGACTCAGGCTGAAGATCTGGAGGCGCTTGGACCCCAGGGTAGAGATAAATTGTCTGGACACCATTCTGGGCTCCTGTGAATCCTGCAGGGTGTTTCTAAAGCAAAACAGTGCAAGCTGCTCATGTATATAAAATGAGAGCAACTACATTGACACAGCACAGAGAAAACGTCCTTCTGTTACTTCAAAACACGTCTGAGTATTGGAATGGAGGTAGGAGGGGTAAGGCCTCGCTGAATGACAGAGCAAAGCGTAAGTTTGTGCACAAGTCCGAGACAAAGCCAAGGTGGTGGTGCACGCCTGCCATCCCAGCCCCTGCGAGGCTGAGGCAGGAGGGTCACTGTGAGTTTGAGACAAGCTTGGGCTACACAGTGAGCTCAAGGGCAGCCTCAACAGCACCGTGAGACTCTGCCTTAAAAAGACAAAAACAAAAAGGGAAGTCTAAGAGAGGCAGGGCTTGAGGCAGCAGGTGAAAGTCCTCCTCTGGCCGGGGGGCTTCAGCAAGAAGGCAGGCCTCGGGTGTGAAGTGACTGATGACCTCCGACCTGGCCATCCCTGGGGTTCAGGGCATCCTTTCTCCCTGCAGAGCCCGCCCCTAGCCCACGCTGCCCTGCCTCCTACACCCGGGCCAGAGTCCTTTGTCACACCCCATTAGCATGGCAGTGCTTCCTCAGGGCAGCCTGCAGCGTTACCAAGCAGAGGACCATCCTCCAGCTGGGTCACCGAGCCCAAGTACCCAGAGCCACACACCCGCTCCTGAGTCCTCATAGGAGACACCTGTTCCTCTCTGGATGGCTGGCACAGCGGCTATCCGGCAGGCCTCCCATTTCTGACACCATGACCTTAAACTGTGCAGCAAGATCAGGTGACGGAGGCCAGCATGGACACCTGAGCACATTGAGCTTGGGCAGCCTGGCAGGTCACACCCTCCTCTCCACTGTGGAAGGGCAGGGCACGGCAGCCTCTGAGGCCTGAAAGTTGAGGACTAAATGCAGCTGCTTCAGAATTGCTGGCTTCAGCTCTTTATTCTCAAGCACAGCTGCTGACAGGACTGGCTTGGAAAGGAAGGGTCGCCCTTCCTGGTTACTGCACAAACAGCATCACCAGCAGGTGTCGCCCTCAGCAACTCAGGAGTCCCACAAGGACCCAGTGGCAAAGCTTTGGTCCCCGCGGTTTGATGTCTGGAAACTCGACTCCTGTGCTAGTCAGAAGTGTCCAGTAAGAGGCCAGCTGGCCCTGCAGGACCACATGCTGTGTGACTACTCATGACATACAGAGCTCTGGCCAGTTGCAATCTGGGGATTTCGCGTGGAGGCTGAAGAGCACCTCTACTGCTCGCACCCCAGTGGTGATGCCTGCTGTAACAACCTCACACCAATTCTGCATGGAAGGAGAGCAGAAGCTGACAACCCTCCGAGCACTGCACTCAGAAAGCAAGAGACAGAATGGGAGGATGAAGGCCAGGAGCAAGCCGAAGTAAGAACTTGGTTTAAGGATAATGAGTTTCCAAAAGCACAGTAGTCACACATTTACTAGCAGTTAAATGGCTGGTTCTGTAGTTGTATTGCAAATGGAATCAGAGACTTTACACCCGCCAAGGAGCCGTAAAAGAGGCAGTGTAATGGGGTGGGTGGGCTCACAGGTGGATGCCGACACTTACAGAATACAAATGCCAAATTCTTGTATATTTCAGCAGGCCTGCTGGGGAGGAAATTTAGGAACTAATCTGAGAGTTTGCTCAGGGTTGTGCAGTGGGGTGCTGAGATTACAGAAATCCTTCATGGTGGAGCTGAACCTTAGCCGCTCAGCAGTGGCGATCTCTACCCAGGACAGCTCCTTCCTCTTCCTCTGAAGGCCAGAGTGCCTCCTGCCTGTGATCCTGGACTGTGTGCTGAGCCCCGTGGCCTTTAGCTGCCTTCAGGAGCTGTGCTAAACCGCGAGTTCTCGGGTCTGTGCTGCAGACCTGCAAACACCCCACAGTGCAGGCTCTGAGACCCCCTGCTTGCCATTGTAAACATGTTCTGGGTTATTCTGTCTCACGTACTTGATGTGAGAGAGAGCGTATTCCTTTTCTGTGGTGTATAATCACTATATTCTGGGGTATGACATAGACTTTAAAGGCATCATTCTGTATCTAAAGCATTCGGGGGGCGGGGGGTATTTCTGCCACTTTGCTGAAATTTGTCACTGGCATTGTTGACTTTTGTAATATTTCTGGCCAAAACGCCTGAGATCTTTTTCCAAGTGGAAAGGAAGAGCGTACTACTGAGCTTGCTCTGTCACAGACCAAAGTCTGCTGCGCACAAACACTGGGGGACAAAGAAGTGCAAACAATCTCTCTGGACACTAGAGGCGGCGTTCACTGCGGTGAAGAGTGCAGCCAGGTAGCCTGGGCCACGCCAGGGTTAGTGTGGGGTCAGCGCACGTCGCTGTTCTCTGGCTGTGTCATTAACTACATAGCATCCTGCCCGTTCATGCCAGCACTTTCCAACAAAATGGAGTTTCCTTGGCGTTTCAGGGAATGTTGCTATGTGCGGCCTGATTGTAAAAAGATGAGCCATGGTTCTGTGTGTTTATGGTGCTTTGAGGGTGAGAGCTCAATGACTTAGAGTGACTTCTTCAGAATTTACTTTTGATGATGATAACATCATTAAAGGGTCGTAGTCTGGGCGAATGTTAAGACCATGAGCAACATTGATGATTGTTTTTCCAGCTGACTTTGTGTTTGGCAGCACGGTTCTCCTAACGTATTACATCTTGATTCTTAAATCATTTATGGAAAGTGAGTTTTCTCTTCATTGCTCATGTTACTAATTTCTGGTTTCTGCCCTGTAACGCCACTGTTGGTTGTGATCTTGTGGGCCTGAGTCGTGGAGACAGCGGACATTCCTTTTTCTGATTTTAACGTAGCATCCAGACGGTGCCTTCATTCAGGACTCATGGGCTGGTTCTGTCCTCTGTCTCTTCCCAAGGCATGAGGTTCTATTTCATTTTTTCTTCTTTGGTGGACTCTGTCTTCCTGCGCTGAGGGCTATTTGTCACTTTCTGTAATAACAGAGCCGTGCCCTTCACGGTGAATTTTGAAACTGTATGTTAAAGAAACTGTCGCATTTGCAGGCGTATTCAAACTGAGACTTTTTCATCCGTTTTTCCTTTGATTATCAGTCCCTGTGTGTGTTAAGTTTCCAGAGTGCCGGGATCAGTACGTGTCATACACATGGCATCGTGCACATCCCCATCTCTTTCCTTAGGCCACCTTTTTGGTCACTGAGCCCCAGGACAGCATGGCTTCCATAATCCGTCTTCAGAGTTCTAAGACGTTCTCCAACAGAAACTGTAAAGGTTTTCATTAGCTTTCCAGATTAACACGTGTAGTATTTGGAGACTGTTGATGAACAGGAAGAAGCAGAGACAATGGAGCAGCACAGTGAAGACAGATGAAGGATCTGGGGAGACCGAGCTGATGCTCACGGGAAGGAGGCCAAGAGATGGGGGATGAAGTGGGTGGGGAAGGAGGAGGCCATGCGGGGTGCGTGGACCTGCTCCCGTGCTGAATGTGGTCAGCGTCACTGCAGGGCGGACTGATGGGAGGTTTCCTAAACTGAAGGAAAATAAAAGCCCCTTAGCTGCCTGTTTTTCTTTGCATATTGAAACAGCAGTCAGGTCTCCACAGGCAACTGGCTGTGTTTTCCCAGAATGCAGTGCTGGAATGCGGGGGAGGGGCGCTGTCACTGGTGCCCGAGGGGACGGGCAGGCCCGGCTTCCTAGCAGGCATTTGGATGATGTAGTTGAGAACTGCACTGTGTGTGTCTTGGGAGCATCTGGACCACAGGAGAAGCTCAGGCTTGTCACTGCACGTGGCCTGCCCCTCCTCCCCACTCCACCTCTCCAGGTCTTTCTATCTCACAGGCTGCTCCTTGTCCTAGTTTGGCTGTGCCAAAACTGTCTATGCAGTTGCCCAGATCGGTTACCCTTCTCTGGGTCTCTTCTGATGCCCTAAACACCCCAGGAGAGAAACAGGGTTGCTTTCATACCCCTTCTTAGCCAAGGTGGGTGGAGCTCTCCAGGGTAAACTTACACAGGTCACATGTAACCTAGTGCGGGAAGCAACAAAAGGTAGAAATTCAACAGCACTGTGTAAGCAGAACTGGAAAAGGAAGCGATCAATGCCCTAAACAGCAAGTTAGAGAACATGCATTTTCTTTGATGCCTCAGAGCAATTCTTCACGTCTTTGTTTCTTACTTTTTTCACTTGGATTTGGATTCGTAGGCTTCTACTGTGACTCTTGCTTTTGTGACTTTGTACTAGTAAACTTAAGTTTAACCAGGAGGAGAAGCACTGTCCCATCCCACTGTGGCTTCAGCACCCAATTCCAGGGTAGCCTCACAGGTCCCGTGAGAGAAGTGTAACTGGATGCAGAATAACTGTGTGATGACCTCGATACGCATAAATATGTGGAAAAGTCAGCCTCACATGGGGTGTTTCCGGGTAGAGTTGAGAGACCTCATGTTTGTGACTCACTGTTTTTCCTGGAATCCATATCTGATGATGCAGGAGGTGGTGACCTTCGAGGATGTGGCTGTCAGCTTCACCGGTGAGGAGTGGGCTATGCTGGATCCAATCCAGAAGAAGCTCTACAGAGATGTGATGCTGGAAACCTTTACGAACCTGGCTTCCGTAGGTAAGGAAGATGCCATTTCGGGTCCTGCTCATCAGCACAGTGTCCTTAATGGGAAGATGGAAACGTTATGTGTGAAACGTTACGTGGCCAAATGGTCACCCTGTACTGCGAATCAAACTGGACTCTCCCAAGTTTCATATGTTTAGTAAGTCATTACATTCCTGTTTCTACCCTTTAGGAAGGGACTCAGATGACCAGCACGCTGAAGATGAGTACAGAAATTGCAGGAAACATCTAAGGTAATTTGTAGTCAGAGAAGAAAGATCCACAAATGTCAGAATATTAAACCCAAGGAAACTACACAAATGAGATCCTGTTCAAACTTCTTTAACTTCACAAAATTTCTCAGTGGATTGAACATGTCTAATCTGACAGCTGAATATTTGAAATATTCCAGTGTCTGAAATCCATTTGGTATTCATCTTATGCCATCGTTGAGGTAAAGTAAAAGAGCAGTTAGCGGGATGCCTGGGTACCCCCTGTAATGCCAGCACCTGGAGACTGAGGCAGGAGCACTGCCACCAGGTCAGGCCAGAGTGGGACATACAGTGAGTTCAAAGCCACTGACTTCAAAGCCCCAATGGCCGTGATGCCTTAGCTGAAATTTTAAAAATTAAAATAAAAAAATTTACAAGTTTTTCCATGCTCAGGTTCATACATGTTTTCAATGAAATTGAATTCAGACATTGAGGACAAGACGATATGAAGCAAATTTTTTGTGTGCACCAAGAGCTAATTTCTAATGGTATATACATGTGTTTTTAAAAGACCACTTCCATACTAAACAAATTATACGTGACGTTATATGTAGTTCAACGTGATGTACACATTCAGTGTTTGAAAAATTTTAATATTGTGGATATACGCAAAATCTAAATGAATACCACTGTTCTGATCTGATTGATTTCTTTTCAAGCAGTCCTCCAAAAACCACAGATGACTCATATTCCAAAATATTAGAAGGCACATCTCCATGTCATTGGCGGGACTGTCAGTGTGCTGTAACATCTGTGCCGATGGATACGGAGATTCCACAGTAAAAGAAATGTAGACGTTGTATTTTATCATCTATACTGTCTTTTTAAAAAACAGGTTATCACTGTGTAGTCCAGGGTGACCTCAAACTCACAGTGACCCTGTAGCCTCAGCCTCCCAAAGGCTGGGATAACAGTAACACACCACCCTCCCAGGGTGTACCCAAGTATACTTACACTGCGTGTATTCCCCAAACGTTTAAATAATCATATTACAGTGGTTCTCAAATAACCATTTCTAGCGGCACAAATCGGAAAAGCTAACCTCCGGCAAAAGCCTAAATATCCATCCTCAGATGAACTGACTAAGGAAATGTGGAATTCACTTAGGCATAAAAGGACAGGCTTCAAATCCTAGTATTCTAGTAAACTGAGGCAGGAAGATCATGCATTCATGCTTAGCTGGGTAACTTAATGATTGATGAGACTCTTGTTTCAAAATAAAAAAAATGCATGTGCATGTATCTTAATGCTAAAACCATGGATTCAATGTCTAGTATAAAAACATGTATTCTATCCATATAATGGCTTAGTATTCATGCCAAGAAGAATGAAGTGTCATTTGCCAAAATATGGATGAATGTAGATACCATAAAGTTAGATTAAAGAAGTCAAAAAGAAATTTCAGTATCAAATGTTCTCTTCTGCATCAGAATCCCACCATATGAGCTAAGGAGTAAACAGGAGAGAGATGGTGGCAGAGAGAGAGGCAGGCACTGGAGGGGCTGAGGGGGCTGAGTGGAGGGCAGGGGATGGGGTCATGGGGGGAAAGGTGTAAGGGTCACCAGTGCATGGAGCTGGGCTCAGCAAGCTGTGCTGCAGTTCCTCAAAGTGGAAATAAATATTGGGAATTGCAAATGGGTCAATTACAAACTCAATTGAATCCTGTTTGGGTGACAGCTGCATCCCAACCATCTGGCAGACTGCACAATAAGGCGATGGTTGTGTGTTCTTAAGGGCATCAAAGCAGATCTCCTCGTGGTGAATAACTACTACAAAGATGCTGTAAAATGTGAGGCTGATTTGTTACTCTCCCCTCTTACAGAAGTGAAGAGGTAGAGCAGTCCTGGCAGTATCAACTCTGGTATCAACAAGGTGAAATGGTTTCTCCGACACCTGACACAACTGTGCAAATGAAAGTCGTTGGTATAAAACCACATGAAAGTGTTTCCATCATTACACCAAATGATGTGCAAATTGGAGCAAGCAGTCACAGTGAAGTAAATATGTACATATGTGTATCGTTGGGAAAGGATTTTAATTATCACCATGATAGTCAGGCACATGAAAAGCCTCACTTTAGAGATAAAACCTGTGGACTTGAACAATGTGGAAAATCCTTCACTAACAATTCATTGGCTAATGATGAAAGAAGTCACTTGGCAGAAAAACCGTATGTATGTAAACAATGTGGGAAAGCTTTCAGCAGAAGAGATAGTTGGCGAATGCATGAATGGATTCACACTGGAGAAAAACCGTATGTATGTAACCAGTGTGGGAAAGCTTTCAGCAGAAAACATAGCTGGCAAATGCATGAATGGATTCACACTGGAGAGAAACCCTATGTATGTAAGCAGTGTGGGAAAGCATTCAGCAAAGGTAGTACTTACAGAATTCATGAGAGAATTCACACTGGAGAGAAACCTTATATTTGTAACCAATGTGGGAAAGCTTTCAGCACCCAAGATAGTTGTCGAATACATGAAAGAACTCACACTGGGGAAAAACCCTATGTATGTAAGCAGTGTGGGAAAGCTTTCAGCAAAAGTAGTAGTTGTCGGATTCATGAAAGAATTCACACTGGAGAAAAACCTTATGTGTGTACCCATTGTGGGAAAGCTTTCAGCACCCGTGATCGCTGCCGAATACATGAAAGAAGTCACACTGGGGAGAAACCCTACATATGTAATCATTGTGGGAAAGCTTTCAGCACAAAAAGAAATTGTCAAGTACATGAAAGGATTCACACTGCAGAGAAACCCTATGTATGTAAGCAGTGTGGCAAAGCTTTCAGCACACGTGGTGTATGTCAAACTCATGAAGCAACACATACTGGGGAAAGACCCTATGTATGTAATCAGTGTGGGAAGTCTTTCAGCATGAAGCATAACTGGCAAATGCATGAATGGACTCACACTGGGGAGAAACCATATGTATGTAAGAAATGTGGGAAAGCTTTCACCACAAAAAGGAATTGTCAAGTACATGAAAGGACTCACACTGGAGAGAAACCCTATGTATGCAAGCAGTGTGGGAAAGCTTTCAACACAAGTGGTGTTTTTCAAAGGCATGAATGGACTCACACTGGAGAGAAACCCTATATATGTATACAGTGTGGGAAAGCTTTCAGATCACACTCAAATTGTCAAAGACATGTACGAACTCACACAGGTGAGAAACCCTATGTATGTAAGCACTGTGGGAAAGCTTACAGCACAAACAAGGATTGTAAAATACATGAAAGAAGCCACACGGGGGAGAAACCATATGTATGTAAGGAATGTGGAAAAGCTTTCAGCTCAAATAAGTATTGTAAAAAACATGAAAGGAATCACCCTGGGAACAAACAGTACGTGTGTAACCAATGAGGAAAAATTTTTGCTACCGATGATAGTTCTCAAAACCATGAAAGGCACACTATGGGGAAATCCAGTGTATGTAAGCAGTGTGGGAAAGTTTTCACCAAACTGAATTCATGAAAGAATTCACAGTGGAGAGAACCTTACGTGTGTAAGCAATTCAGGGAAGCTTTCAGTACACGCAGTGTTTGTCAAACTCCTGAAGTGACTCACTGGGGAGAGACCCTACATATGTAGCCAGTGTAGGAAGTCTTTTAGCGTGAGATAATTGGCAAATACATAAAATGACCCCCACTTGGGAGGAACCCTATGTATGCAAGCAATGTGGGAAGCAGGAATTATCAAGTACATGAAAGGGCTCGCCCTGGGGAGAAACCATATATAGGTACACAGTGTGGGAAAGATCAGAGTTCACACTCGAATTGGCAAAGATATGTATGGACTCACAGGGGAGAAACATTATGTACATAAACAGTGTGGAGAAGTTCACAGTGCAAACAAGGATTTTAAAACACATGAAAGAAGCCACACTGGGGAGAAACCCTATGTATGTAAGTAGTGTGGGAAAGCTTCATGGTAGTTACTAAAATCCTGACAGAATTCACACTCCAGAGAAACCCTATGTATGCAAGAAATGTGAGAAAACTTTGAGCAGGCCAAATAGTTGTTAGGAACATAAAAGATCCAACAGAGGACACAGCCAGCACTATAAGCAATGTGAGAAAACTTTCAGATCACAGAAAGATTGCAAACGACATTCATGAATTCACACCGGGAGAAAAACTATAGGTAATGTAGGCAAACCACACGCAGAGATGGCCTGGGCATGAAAGAACTCGTACTGCAGGTGAAATCCTGCGTGTGTAAATAACAGGAGCAAACTTCACCACACAGTGTGTTTGTGAAACACGGGAAAGAAATCAGCGTGCAGTGTAAACCTGTGTACTTAGCCAGTGTGGGAGGCGGTGAGCTCCCACGGTCTTTATCAAAGTCGTGAAGGGCACACTGTTGGAACGCTGTGTATGTAAGCAGTGCGTGTGTGCGCAAGTACACAGAGGTGTTGGGGAATACATGAAATAAACTACACGTGGGAGAAAGTCTGCAGACACAGGAAAATTCTGTGCCGAGAGCAGTGTGCATGGTAACAAGGAGAGTACCTGCCTCGCTGTGTGAATTCACTTAGACGTGGATCAGACTGAGGAGAACCTTTCCTTACAAGTGTTGTAAAGCCTCTGTCCACACAGGTATCAGTACACACAGGGATTGATAATGAAGAGGTCGGAACACGTAAGCAACGTGGGGTTTTGTTTTGTTTTTTGTACCAGGAATCGAACTCAGGACCATGCGCTTGCAAGGCAGGTGCTTATGCCGCTGAGCTACATCCCTGGCCAGTGTGGGGGGTTTTTCAATTAACAGAAATTCATGAATTACATATACGGGAAACCCTTCAGTTCTTGCAATACATGAACATGCTCCCACTAAAGAGCCATCCCATCTAAGTGTGCCATGCCCATGACATCAGAAACTGGAAGCTCATGAGCGTTAGTGTGATCATGGAGCGTGAGGAATCCCCATTTTTGCACTGCTTTCCATGAATCGTGGCATTGCACAGAGGAAGCGTGTGTGAATGTGTGTAACACGGGCACCTGTGGTCATTTCATCTTAGTTTATCTGGCAAACAGTATTGTGGGGACCAGTGATAGAAAAGCTTTGCACGTGTGATGAGTTGTCCTGCATTTAAGGGCACTACGTCAAAACCCTGTGAGTGTACGAGGTCTCGGTTATAACATGTTTTTTCAGATCCTTTGTTCACTTTTTATATAATTTAAACATAGAAAAATGAGTTGTGTAAAAATGAGACATCAAATGTTTCTGCAGAAAATACTGCAGGAGATATGCTGACGTGTAAATACTGTAAGCTTGTCTCTTAAATAGCCCTCTGTATTAAATGCTTTTAAGTATAAATATAGCTAGGCAATACAGCTCAGCAGCGCGGTGCCTGCCTGGCAAGTGCTGGGTTCTGAGCTTGATTCCAAGTAGCAAGAAAACAATAAAAACAGTTAACATAGTCGAGAGCAGTGGCACGCCTCAGTCCCAGCACTGGGGAGGCTGAGGCAGGAGGGTAGTTGTGGGTTTCATGCCAGCCTGGGGTACATAGCGAAGCACTCTCTCAAAAATAAGAAACACAAACAAATGCTCACATAATTCTGCATATTCTTGTGATCACAGTTTTTAAAATATTGTATTTAAACTGTGATCACAGTTTTTAAAATATTGTCTCAAGGTACATAACAATTAACTTCATTTGCACTACATTAGATCGTAAGGTGAAGAGACTTGTATTTCTTATGTGATGCTAGGCTTAGTATTTTTAGGTTATATTTGTTTAATCTTTCTTTCTGGGGTTTAGTAATTGCGATGTAACATGACTCAAAGCGGAATTTCCCTTAACTGTTCCCATTTTCCCTTTAGTTGTATTTAAAACGTTACCGCACACAGTCCATTATTCTACCAATAAATTTGTAACTGGTTGTCATATTTTATTATTTTATGACTAGTAATTTCTGTACCTGTGCTTAAGTGGTCATCTGTTTTCAGTGTGTAAATTAACAAATACCACGTTTTTAGTGTTTTAAGATATTTGTACATATCCCAGTAAAGTTGCAAATTACACACAGTGTATGATTTTTCATGGTTTCTTCATGAGAACCATTAATATGATGTGTGTACTGTATTGCTTGTTTCTGTCATTAAATTTCACTTTTGATTCTCATACTGCCGTGGGTAGTAATTACTCAATCAGACATCCAAAAATACCTGCATTTTTGTAGGTCCCCCACTACCAGGGGCCAGCAGGACCATGTATTTTCTTAAAGAAGATGCAGCGCACTGTGATGATTCACTTCTTCAGCAGCTCTAAATGTTGATACGATTTGTCAGCAAGGACATCCTCAGGAGTTTTTTATCATGTTTATTTGGTTTCCATTCCTCATAGTCAATCGTCAAACCATCCATATATCTGTATCCGGAGTCAAATTCAGAACCTCACACTTACCACGCGGGCACCATGCCATGGAGCTAAATCCCCCAGACGGGTTTCTTTTATGCTGTGAACACCATTTGTGCTTAATTTTTAAAGGGGACGCTCAAATCAGTTATAATAATAGAAACAGGGATTTTTGACATTCATTCGTGTTCCCTTTCATCAGCTTTAGAGACAAATGTGTGCTGATTCTGTCACCACGGTAGCTCCCCCTGTGTGATTGAATGAACTGATGTCTCCCCCCACCGAGGACTCCGCGAGCTGTCTCTGAGACGTCTGGCGGCTTGCTTTTTTGCCCCCTTCTCTGCTAGCGCTTCCATCACTGTAAAATACCCCGCATCGTTTAGGCTTCAGTTCCGCGGCTGCTCCATTTCCCATGAGGTTGCATTCCACTGGTGCTGGGTCCAAGCACATTACAAGTAATGCTACCTCTAAGCAAGTGTCAGCCACCTCCGTGACGGGAGTTATCGGTGCTTCTCCCCTGAAACAGCTTTGCCTTGACGATGTAAACATACCCCGCTCTGTTGCTTGGCTCCTGTACACTGCAGGTGCTGATCCAATCACACACACTGGGCACAGAGCAGCTACGGCTGGCACAGTTAGAGCCCTCTGCAGTGCCTGGAATACTTCTGTCATTGTACCCCCAAAGGAGTCAGGCAAATGGGGTTATTACAGGACTTCAGAGCCGTAGATGAATGTGCGTTCTCTGTGGATGTGCTACAGCCTGGACCAACCAATCCAACAGCTGCTTTCATGTATGTGGAGGTGCTATACCCGGACCGACCAATCCAACAGCTGCTTTCATGTATGTGAAGTGCTACAACCCAGACAGACCAATCCAACAGGTGCTTTCATGTATGTGGAGGCGCTACAACCCAGACAGACCAATCCAACAGCTGCTTTCATGTATGTGGAGGTGCTATACCCGGACCGACCAATCCAACAGCTGCTTTCATGTATGTGAAGTGCTACAACCCAGACAGACCAATCCAACAGCTGCTTTCATGTATGTGGAGGTGCTATACCCGGACCGACCAATTCAACAGCTGCTTTCATGTATGTGAAGTGCTACAACCCAGACAGACCAATCCAACAGCTGCTTTCATGTACGTGGCCGTGCTATGCCCGGACCGACCAATCCAACAGCTGCTTTCATGTATGTGGAGGCGCTACAACCCAGACAGACCAATCCAACAGCTGCTTTCATGTATACCCGGACCAACCAATTCAACAGCTGCTTTCATGTATGTGGAGGTGTTACAACCAGGACCGACCAATCCAACAGCTGCTTTCGTGTATGTAGAGGTGTTACAACCCGGACCGACCAATCCAACAGCTGCATTCATGGGCTATAACCCAGACAGACCAATCCAACAGCTGCTTTTGTGTATGAGACCACGAAAGCTGTCACATACGCTGAGGCTGAGCAGGTTAACGGGTGCAGCCGCTACACAGGAGCAGGGCACCGAGTGTCCAACGAGGGAGGCAGTAGGAGCGATGGGCCCTGGCACACGGGTGTCCACGGGGAGGAAACGGTGGGCAATGCGCCTATGGTGCCCACCTACGTGGCACTCGCTTGGCCCTGGCTGTGTGGAGGGAGCCCCAGTTTGCAACCATGGGGAAAGGGCTTCTGGTGCAGTCACAGGAGGCCAGAGACATCTGTCCTCCTCATCCCAGGAGTGTCCCTCGGGCTCCTGTGAGGCTGCCCTGCCTCACCTTCCCACCTGCCAAGCCACTGGGGAGGGCAGAACTGGGGCTCAAAGAGGCACGAGAGCTTTGAAAGGCTCCCTGCCTCCCGGGGCTCCCTGGACATGGCTGTGCCCTACCCAGATCCCCAGAGCGAGGCTGTGTAACTCGGGAAACCCGACTTCCGCACGCTTGGAACACAGAGGTGTTCAGAGGGTGTCCCCACGTCCCAGGCAAGGCCACGCCCTGCCTCTCCCCTGCGTTCCTCTGCTCTCCGCCTGCTTACCCTTGGCCACCTTCTCCCAATGGTCTCTGTGAAATAAGAGCGGATATTTTCTTGGTCGTCTGTCTTACAACCTGCATCTGATCTTTGACTTATTTCTGTGTTTGATGGAGCACACTGAATGGCCTGAATGTTTGGCAAATGTCTAGAAGAGGAGCTGACAGGTTCTGTGTGTCTGCGGCAGGAGCAGGAGAAAAGTCTCCCTCGGGAGCACGGCTTAGTCACTTAGAATCCCTGGCTCCACGGTCACCATCCCTGGGAGACAAAGGTCACTCAAATGTAGCCTCAGTGTGCTCACAAACACGGCTCTCACACTCACAGGGCAATCCGTACACTCACACACACACAAGCACGCTCAGATGCACAGCTCACATTCACAGGGCAATGTGTACACACACAACAAGCACACTCAGATGCACAGCTCACACTCACAGGGCAATCTGTACACTCACACACACACAGCAAGCACGCTCAGATGCACAGCTCACACTCACAGGGCAATCTGTACACACACAACAAGCACACTCAGATGCACAGCTCACACTCACAGGGCAATGTGTACACTCACACACACCGAGCACACTCATAGATGTACAACTCTCACAGGGCAATCCGTACACTCACACACACACAACAAGCACACTCAGATGCACAGCTCACCTTCGCAGGGCAATCTGTACACACACACACACAACAAGCACACTCAGATGCACAGCTCACATTCACAGGGCAATGTGTACACTCACACACACCGAGCACACTCATAGATGTACAACTCTCACAGGGCAATCCGTACACTCACACCGAGCACACTCAGATGCACAGTTCACATGGCAATCCGTACACTGACACACACACCAAGCACACTCACAGATGTACACGTCACACCCTCACAGGGCAATCTGGACACTCACACACTGAGCACAGTCATAGATGCACAACTCTGCACTCTCCCAGGACAATCACTCACACACCAAGCACACTTATAAACGCACAACTCACTCTCACAGGGCAAGTTGTACACTCACACACACATCCGGCACACTCATATATGCACAACTCACACACAGGGCACACTCAAGTTCCACAGCATGCACACCCATGCACATGCCACTCACACACCCAAAGAGCCCATCTATATATACACATGCATATCAAGCACACAAATAGTTCATGTATATCCACAGGGCACACCCGTACTTTCACAAATACCAACCACACTCACATAAAGAATTCATACACACCTATAGAGCACATTCACATACACTTGCACATTCACACCAAGCACGCTCACACAGACAACATCTGTACACCAGCACAAGTATTTTAAGTACATGCGTACATATGATGTACACACAGGGTACATCCATAAATATACAGTCACCCACACCTGATACACACATTCAGACAACACCAGCACAAACAAGAAGCACATTCTCTCATATATTTGAGACACACCCTGTAATGGATCAGAATCTGGTGGGCTCTTCAACACCAGCTGAATTAGTCAGCATCGTGCTGAGCATGGATGGCCCACCTGAGTGAGGGAAGTTGCCAGCATAAACAGAGACGTGGGAAGGAGGAACAGGGTATTGTGGGTTCTCCTAAGTGGTGGTCTCCTGGAGAAGCTCATCATGCTGGCTCCCCTGATGTGAACTCAGCTGTTATCCCTGGAGGAGCTCAGGACCTTGTCACTGAGGGTGCTGTGCTTCACTCGGGGGAGCTCTGGTGCTTACACTGAGCGTCGCTTCCTGGCTCCAGAGGGGAAGGTGTGTGCTGCTCAGTCTCCAGGAGGAGCTGTCACGCTGGCTTCCTGACATGCACTCAGCTGTTCTCATCATCCGAGGAGCTCAAGGCCTCACTGCACTGAGGGTGGCTGTGCTACTTTTCAGGGAGTTCTGGTCCTGTTTTGAGTCGCTCCTTGGCTCCAGTATAGAACCCTCAGCCCGCTGGCACAGCTCCTTCATCCCACTGGCATAGACTTTCTGGCTTCCACCGCTGACCTTTGGGCCTTCTCGGGGCAGATCTGTGAACCAGACTTGAGGAATCAATGTCATGGGCTCTGGGCCTCCAGCTGGACTCACTCAGGACAGTACTGTGGGCTCCAGGCCCTCATCTGGGTTTTCTAGGTCTTTAGTGTTGTGCACAGATTTCCTGCATTTTCTTGTATTTAACTCTCCGTGATCATCGTAAAAGAACATTATAAATTCTGTGTCCTGTGTGTAATTGTTCTTGCAAGTCCTGACTACGACACACCCACAGTGCCCAACAGTACACTCACATTTACACACATTCGCACACGCACTCACAAACCACGAGCACTCGCGCATACACACAGCACACGCACACACTCACAAACCCCACTCCCCACGCACACATCAGACAGTAACTTTCCTCGCATCGGGGAGACAAAGTACCCAATGCTCTAAGTTAAGTTATGGGTGAAAGTGTATTTAGCTCACAGCTTGCAGAGGTGGCAGCCCACACCCAGCTGGCTCCTGGGCAGCATGCTGTGGCCCAGAGGAAATAGCTCATGGAGGATGCAGGGAGCACAGCAAGGGTCAGTCTCACCCCTTGATACGTTGTCCAGGCCACTTAACCCTTAATCCTAGTGTCCTTGAGCCTCGAATTGTACCGTGAATCCATCCTAGCGTCACACACTCTAGATCCAGCCGCCTCTGAAAATCCCGCACCTACGACCATCCACGGCCTTGAGGCAACATCTCAACACAAGGTAAGGACACAGCCATCACACAGCACA